CCCAGGCCCACCCTCCTCCTCACTGTTTGCCCAGAGGCATGAGGGGGATGGAGACCTCTCTGCAGAAGAAAGAGGCTTTGCCTGCAACGCTCCAGACAGTGTTGTCCTGCATCCCGCATCTCTTTCCCTTTGCACCGAGGCTCAGGCTGCCTCGGCTGGGCAGTGTGGTGAGGTGCCTGACAGAGATGTACCCAACAGGAAGGGAGTTTGGCTGTTTCTTATCTTGTAGGCTTTGCAGCCTGCATGGGCATAGCATCAGAGAGGAATGGAAGATGGTGGGCAGGCTGCACCCTGGGAGATGATGCGCAGATCACAAAGGCTGTGTGAGGGAGGGTCAGCTACTTAGAAAACGTTTAGTTTTGTCCACTTAGGATGTCATCAAGAATGTCCCTGACAAGGATGAGTCTGTTTATACCTTACTGAATCCTAATTAATGCTGAGCAGGGGCCCTGCGGTTTTGTGTGCATTGCATCCTGGAGCGTGGTGAGATGCAGATCTTGGGCATTAGCAGAGGGATGCATGGTGCTTGGTCTGCCGTGGGTACAATTCCAGTGCTGTTCAGGGCTGTGCTTTCACCTCTGTAGGGTGAGAAGTCTGCTGCAGTTTAGCATGTGTTGGGGGTAGAGATAAGACTGTAAAGAAAACAGAGGGAGCCCTCCTGTCTGAGCTAGCAAAGTGATGGTCAGAGAGGTCTCACTCTGCTAATACCGACCCCGTAGCTCTATACATGAGTCCTCATCACTTCACAAAACACCCTCAGTGAAATAAGGCAAGTGAGGCGCAGAAGCTGCACCCCTGCCCCTGCTGTGCCAGTGTCAGGATGGGGCTGGGGTCCCATGCTGCTGCCCACCTGCCTGGCCCCAATCCTTGTCTCCCCCAGCCCTGCTGTCACCCTGCTCCGCACCCCAGTGATCTCCACCTTTGCTGGCCATGCAAACCTACAGCCCCTGTAAGTGTGGGTTGGAGCTGCACTTTATGGTTCAGGTGCCAGCTTCAGCACCGGGGATCCTTCACAGACCATTGCTTAGAGCGAGGTTTCTGTTGTGGGCACCTTACAGATAATATACATTGCATGTGGCATTTTGAGCTTTGAGTCAGAGTTGGCTTAAAGCAGTCATGAAGATAATAGCAAGGCTGTGAAGCAGCGTAACTGTTATATTGATCCTTTAATCTTGGGAACTGGTGTCCTGAAGCGTGGGCTGTGAGTGATGGCATCTATCTGTTTGTGGGAATTAGTGAGCAATCCTCAGTTCATCTCTCCGCTGTAGCAGTGCTGGCAGCAGAGGTCCCATAGCACTTCCCGGGCACAGCCTTCTGCCTCCGCTGATCCTTCCTGACAGCAGGACATCCACAGGCCCGCACAGGGGGCTGTGCAGAGCATGGGGAGAGGGAACATACATAAAGGACAGAGCTTGCTCTTTGCAGCGCCTCTCAGGGCTCTCCGGCAGTCCTGCCAGAGGAGGGGGAGATCCACACTTAAAACCTGCCCTGCTGTAAGCTCCATGAAATTCAATTTGTCTCCTGCAGAGAGGGAAGAGCTGTCAGCCTTGGCTAGGGTTTTTTTTAGTGGGTAGAATTGCTGTGATGTATTTCAGGTCCTGTGCCTAGGATTTGTAAACCACTCCCCATGGATTTCCTTTAGCGTTTGCTTGAAATTAAAAGTGGTTGGACCAGACATCACTAGAGCAGGAATTATGCATGAGTTGGCTAAAGGTGAATCTGGAATGTAGCATTCATTATTCACGCTTCTTCTCCAGTTTAAAAACTGCAAGTGAAGTTTTGCAGAGGCAGAAAGGGACCAGAAACAGCCAAACACGTATATGAATCCTTACTGCTCATGTCCCCTGAGAGCACAAGGAGATGAGAGGATGGGCAGAATAAAAGCTCTGTTCCCTGCTCCTGTCTGACTGCCATGAGGGTGCGAGTCCCACCATCCCCTACTCAGCTGGTGGTGCTGATCTGACCTCTCTGGTGGACAACTGGGTACTTTGTGGGCTGGGAATGAAGAGCAGCAGGAGCTGGGGACTGGAGATCCTGGCACCCTGCTGTCACTGTCCCCAGCACCATGCTTGCAGCCAGGAGCCGTTGCCATGCTCCCAGGCTTCATTACTGAAATGGGAATGGCTGTCATTTTCCCTGGCACAGCATCGTATGGGAAAAACTAATTTGGGGGAAAGAAAAACTCTGCTGGTCACCAGGGCTGGGATAGCACTGGGCAAAGGTGCATGGATGGGGCAGGGCTAACAGGCACCGTCCTGTTGCCTGCGTTTTGGTGGTGGGGAGAGCCCAGGAGCAGGGGACGCTCTGGGGCCAGGGGAGAGAGTGGCTTCCCCACAGCCCGAGCAGATGGAAGCTGCCAGTCTGCCCTGAATCAGCTACTGGTGGGAAAAATGTTTGTTCCCATCCTACTCTTTGCTATGGCAACTCCAAGAGGCCATGCTCCCTCCTCCCCACTTTGGGCATGGTAAGGGCAAATGGTGCAGGTGATGCCGGGAGCAGCTCTTCCTCTTGTGATGCATTTCTAGGGTAATGCCAAGCAGCGCAGGAGCTGAAGGAGAAATGCAGCCTTTCTGAGGGAAAAACCCTTTAAACCCAAATTGCTTAAACCAAAACTTGCTTCTCTCTTTCTATTCACCATCTCTTCTCTACCAGTGCATCAACCACGGTGTTTCTACAGTCAGGGCAGCCTATCCCTGGCACGGGAGGATGTGTCATGCTGGTGGTGTGTGCCTGGTGCCTACTTCCCCAGGGTGCTGGCTCTCACCCCCCCTGCACCATGCCCTAATGCCGACGTCCTTTCTGCCTTGCAGCCTCCCCCTTCATCATCGCCATGCTCCTGGCCAGCCTCAACAGCTGCTGCAACCCCTGGATCTACATGCTGTACACGGGGCACCTCTTCCACGACCTGATGCGGCGCTTCCTCTGCTGCTCCACACACTACCTGAAGTCGCAGCCGGCGTGCGACCTGAGCGTCAGCAAGAAGAGCAACTCCTCCTCCTTCGTCCTCAGCTGCAAGAGCACGAGCCAGAGGAGCTTCATGCAGCCATCCATGATGTGAGGGCATCGCCTTGTGCTGCCACCGTGCTGCCTTCCCTGTGGAAAGCTGGGATTCGGACAAGCAAGGGGGGGTCTATATAAATAGGTGTATATATGTCTGTGTAAGCATGTACAGGTAATATACAGATATATCTTATTTAACTGAGGCAGGAGTGAGGGGAGGACTGCTGTTGTCGAGGCTTCAGTACTGCCTGGGACTGGACACCAGAAACCCACTTCCAAGCCCCCCAAATCACTGACATAGGTGGCTTTTAGATAGCACTGGGAAGAACAGGTTCTGCCCCAAGCTATCCCACACTGCTGGGGCAGGTGTGCCCTGTTCCCATTGGATGCAAGGGGCAGGGTGATAGATGCCGCCCTGGCACACAGCGTTGGGCACTGCCCCACCTCCTCCTGCAGCAGGAACCCCACAGGCTGCCAGCATCTGGCTGGGGCAGAGCAGCAGGCACCACGCTCTCAACACGGGTATATTTGCTTTGCTTGAAGTATTGTGCGGCAGAGGCAGCCCTCTCCCTGCATCCCCGCATCCTTGTATTCCTGCGTCCCTGTGCAGTGCTGCCCGGGCTTGCCAGTGGCACTGCCAACACAGAGCAGGGCAGTCCTGCCATCATGGGTTAGGGCAGCAGTGGAGACAGGGCTGGGGACAAGCCTGCCACGGGGCAACATTAACACCTGGGTGCCCCTACCCTTGGCCAGCTCTGCTCCCATGTGCCCTGCTCCTGCAAGGCTGCGCACAAGGGTCAGCAGGAGCCAGGGGAGCAGACACGACTGCAGGGCCAGGGGATCTGTGCAATAACTTGTTTGCTGAGTGTGCTCTAAAGCTTCTCCGAAGGGAGGCCTGTGGAATTACAGCTGGACTCCATGAGGTTTAACAGAGGAACTCCTGCGGAGTCCCCTGAGGCTAAGCTTTTGCTTTGGATTTACCGCAGATTGCATTTAGTCTTTTACACCAATGCAATTTTCTTGCTCTGTAACGCACAAGGTCATGCTTATGGCATGGATTTTTTATTGTTAAGAAATACCTGTAAATAAAGTTTTCTGACTGCATCTTAATGGAAAGCGGGAGGGGAAGTGCAGATGGAGCAATAGACGAAGAAAATGAAGGAAATCGATGGGAAGCAACACTTTAAACAGAAGACCCAAGTAAGTAAGGATGCTTTTAGAAGGGAATGCACCAGGCACTGAAGACCTACACTCCCCTTTATTCCTAACATGGATCTCGCCATGCCACAGCCTTTGCTGGGTGGGATGGATGCAGTGAAGGGCAGCTCTTGCTGAAGGCAGTGGGAGCTTTCCCATGAATTTGGTGGCAGTGGGATCCAGTGGCTGCAGACGGATGAGCCTACCTTTGCTCACACCGTCTCCTGGATCTGCAGCCAGGGAATGTGCAGGAGGAAGGCCTGCATGCAAAGGGTAATATGATTTGGCCTTATGTGTTGGGAATGAACACAAAAAATTCATTTAAATGTGAACTTGATCTTTTCCCTGTCATCAACAAGTACATTTCACCTTTCATATCATGGCATTCCTTCTATTTTTCTGTAGTGGCTTCAAGTGAGCTCTCAGTGCATTTGCTGAACACAACCCAGTACATGCACTCTCAGCATGTTTTACCAGGTGGGTTTAAATCCTCATGAAAGCATATAGCATCTTCCTCCCTCTCTCTGGCTGAGTGATGCTGCAGCCCACAGCCAGGCTCCTGCAGCATCCCCAGGCTGCAGTGGGAAGGGGATGGGGAGCAGAGCTCCAGGTTTGTCGCAGTGGAAGGATATCAGATGTTCTGCAAAAAGACATTTATAGGGGTCAGAAGCAAAATAGAGGTGCTGACACGTGAACCCATGCATCACTGCAGTGGGGAGACCAGGATTTCAGAGGTTTGTTCGTTTCTGGCTGTGAACTACTAGAAAAAACCCTAAAAAATTAAAAAGAATATAATCCCAGTATTGTTTTTAATTCTTTTATTCCCACAAAAAAAGCTTTAAAAAATGCTCATGATAAAAGTGGTTTTAGAGACCTTTTTCTCCATACAAATATCTTAAATCACTCCATCCCTCTTGAGGCCCGGTGTTGCTAGACCATGGGTGCTATATTGCTATGGAATAACGCAGTCCACAATCCCAAGCCATTGGATGAGCATCAGAAGAAAATCTGGCTCTTCCTTGTCCTTGGCATGGCCCTAGAAGAGACTTTGGCTCCAAGTCTTTGTTGGAAGCCAAGGGAAAAAAGCACATGAATACAATTGAGAATAACCTCTGAAGAACGGGACCTCCTGGGCCCTGATTCAGCAAAGCACTTAAGGCCAGAGCCAAAGAAGGATTTGAGTGCCTCAGAGTTAAAGTACCGTTCATGGACAATGGACTAAACAGATTAATTGACAGGGGAGGACATAGCTCCAAATTGGACTTTTTCCCCCTCATCCCTGTGTTTTCACTGAGCCAGAGCAGCTGGGTGCAGGCAATGTCCTGGAGGAGGCTCCTTCCTCTGCTGCCTTTGCTGTGTCAGATATACACACACTGCTGCAGGCTAGAGCTGACCCAGCATCAAAGTAAGCACGTCTGCTTTAGCTGAGAACCAAGCTAAAGCTTGAAGCCAAACTTGTCGTGTCTCAAGCTAAGTTACCAAGGGCCACTTGTTCTCGTTGCTCCCCACGGTGCTGCCTGGCTGCCCCCTCTGCAGCCCCAGTGCTGCCCACATAGTTCAACATCCTACTGCAGAGCATAGCGATTCCCTCAGATTAAGTTGTGAGCATCAAACTGCCACAAATGGTTTTGCCATTGCCGGTGGCCCAGGCACATGCTCCCAGGAGGGAGACACAACATTTCATGCACTAATCGATCTGATTTCAAAGCTTTGCTGAAATGCGAGCACACATGAAAAAAGAAGGTTTGTTTTCACTATTCTATCCATAAAACTTTTGTGCACCATGACTTAATACAGAAGCTTCCACAACAGCAATTATTTGCAGCAAATAATAATCCATATGCAAGTATTTCTCTCAGTGTCGTGCTAGACCAAAGGGATGGAGAAGCAGGCAGGGTTTGGTCTGTTGTCCATCAGCATCTCTGCACCATAGCTTATTGTTGCAGCCCGGGGCTGTGGTCCAGGAGATGCTGCTGTCCTTCCCATGGGAGCAGGGTGCAATGCAGGGGGTCCTGGAGGGCCGAGGGCTCTCACTGAGCCTTATTGGGCTTCTCTTCTCCTAAAACTGCTGGCTCTAGGATAGAGCAATGGGCAGCCCAGCATGCTTCTGAATGCAGAGAGCATCCCTCACTTCCAGTTCTGCTGCAGGGCCTGGCAGCACTGTGCAGGTCCCTGTGCATGGATGTCCACGTGCCTGAGGGCAGGGCACACTGCAGGAGCCAGGGAATTCTGTGTAGAAGGGTGGATGTGCAAGGGGCTGGGTACTGCAGCTGTAGGGACCTAGATCTCCTTCCGGAGAGCAACTCTGATGTTGCTGCAGATCTTGGAGAGTGCCTCAAAGAATGGGTCGCAGAAAGTGTGGATGCACAGGGAGTAGATTCGGCTGACGCACTGGATCTCTATCAGGTAGCTCTTGATGCAGGGCACCACTGCCCAGATGTGGCAGAACGAGATGAGGGCAAAAAGGAAGCCCCAGATGACGGCCAGGGGGATGCCCAGGATGGCAGAGAGCAGCCGGTAGCACCAGTACTTGCTGACGGTGAAGGTGGTGTAGCTGGCTTTCCAGACGCCGTCAAAGCTGTATGTTCCCACAGGCTCAGCTATCACATCCTCAAAATCCACCTGGGAGGAGAGAATATGGAGGTAAAGGGGGTTTGGGGAATGAAACCTCAAGGCTCCAGTGCAAGAATGGGGATCCATTGCAACATCAGAGCACAACCTGAATGGAGGGGGGCTGGGGAGAGCAAGGGCTGTGCTGGGGAGAGCAAGGGCTGTGCTGGGGAGATGGATGCTCTAAACCAGGCATGACCACTCAGGACACATTCCCTGGTCCCAAACCCTGAGCTGTGGATGATGCTTCCAGGCCCAAGCCTGCCAAACGGGAGCTGTGCATGGGAGTGTTTACTCCAGAGGAAGCCAGAGCCCATTCCTACCCTTTTTTAGCATTCAGGCACATGGGCTGCCTGCTCAGCCAGAAGGTGGCTTGTGATGATAAAAATCCAACTGCCTTCTTCATTTGTGATATATTAGTTTATATATGCAAGGGCAAAGTGCTCTGTTCTGTCTGTCTGGGTTCCTTCTGCAGAGGGAGAGAGATCAGCTGGGCCATGCCCTTACAGGGATAGTGCTGTTGTGCGCAGGTACTGGGAGTGTCTCTGTGATAAATGCTTTCAGAAGCCTCCAACCTACATGTAAAGATCTCATTTCATGTGGTGTAACTAATTTCTAGGGAATACGTGAACCATGCTATTTGTTGTGAAAAATAGCAGGGCATTTCCTTGGGATGTTAACGTGTCTGTTTGTACATTTATGTTAAACTGCAATCTCCATTCGGGTTTTGGAAGCACTTGGATCATGAAATCATTCTGCATCATCTTTAATTTCCTAGAGTGGGCAGGAGGGAGAAAACATTGCTATGGATAAAGAATCAGCAGCCAAGTTACCTGGTGCTGGGGGAAAGCCCTGCTGCCCAGGGGCTGGGCCTGAGCTGCAGGTCACTGCACAGCTGCCTGGGGAGCTAATCAGGGGTCGGTTAACGAAGAGAGCACCAGGCTATAAGAGAAGAGTCTCAGGAGTGCTGTTCCCTTTGCTCACAGTGCACCAGGAGGGTCTGGAGGACTGGTGGAGGCAGAGTGCTGGATCCCAAGCTGAACCTAGGCACTGCCCTAACGTGCTTACATGCAGGTACTGCTCTGTTGTTTTATACTTTGCCTGGGAGGAGGCTTTTAAAGCTCTGCAAAGCCTTTGTGGCTGGTGCCACCACTGTAGCTGTAATGTGGTCTCAGATTCTGGCTGTCGCACTGTAATGCTCAGGATGGGTTTATCTATGGCCACCTGAACCCTCCAGCCTTAACCTTCAGCTTTAGCACTCTGTTTCTCCCCTTACCTCCACTAGATGCCTTTCTACTTGCTGTGCTTTAGGAGCATTATATAGTTTCATGCACTGGGTGTTTCTGAGTGTGTTGCTGCCCACAAGAGAATAGGGAGGCTTTGGCTTTCCCTGCAGCAGCCATGGGGTGAGCTGTGCTTCCTATGCTGGGGCTGGCTCTGCCCCCCATCCCCAGCCTTATCGTCTGTGCTATTTTTAAGGTGGGAGGAATGCTATGGAAGCTGATGGAGCAGCAGTGTGGCCATGTGAGTGTGTGAGCTTGGAAATTCTTTACAGGCTTTTGGGGATCCCTGAGTGGGAACAGGCAGAGGTGGGGAAATGGGGTTGGTGTGAAGGGTTAGCGATGGTCTGGAAGGTGCTCCTGTTACCCCCAGTAGTAGCTGGGGAGCAGGTAGGTGTGCTCCTGAGTGCTGGGCATGGGGTTCCATTGGGCTGAAGGTTGTCCCAGTCCTCACCAGCAAGGGCAGTGGCAGGGTGGTGCTGCTGCAGCCCCGCACCTCTCTAAACATGGGCTAAGGCTGATGAGACACTGGCATGGTGTGACACAGATGTGGGACACGCTGCTGGGAACATGCTTGAGATAGTGAGGTGCCTGGCAGCTGTCACAGCCACGTCTCACTGTGCCGGAAGGGTGCCCATCTATGGCTGTCACTGTCAGCTCATCCCAGAGGCTTTGAATTTGACCTGGGGTTTAGCTGTAATAGTGTTTTAATGCATAAATGCAGGCTTACATTTCAACTGTGTAATTAGGTTCATGGCATGTTTCAAAGCCTTTGTGAACAGGCTCAGTGCATGCTGTCCCTTCTAGCACGTCATCCACTCTGGTCTCTCAAATACAGTTTTAACAAAACCTTTCCATCTCCTCCTGTTCTCCTTTGGTCCAAACTTATCTTTGGCATAACACTAACAAAGCTTAGAGCAATTGTGTTTCAGTGGTGAGCGTTCCGGAAAAAGTTTCTCTGTTCAGCTAGAATGAGAATTCCTCTTGATCAAAAATAGACAGGAGGAGACTTGCTGCACCCTCCTGCCGCTGTGGGGAAAAACAATCTTCACAATAGGACAACACGTACCAAAACCGTGCTCGCATAGTCGGGTCCTAAAGATTAGCAGCTTTTTCCCCAGGTTCCCTTTAGGTGAGTGATGTGGGCTGACCCTGTTTATTTTTGACTTCCCACTTACTGGTACAAAGGAAGGCGTCTCCATAAGTATAAGGCTACAGACTGTGAAGTTGGAGAGAGCATTCAAGGAGCAGGGAATACTGCATTAATTGGAGTCATCAAGCCAGCATCTCTCTGCCCCTGGCAGCAGGTCTGTGGCTTCTAGCAGGTTATCTCCCTGTTGCCCGAGGTAACCACCTCTTGAGGCACTTGTACTGGGGAATTGCAGCCCTGCCTGAGGCCAAGCCAAATACAGAACGTCAATACCAGCACACCGGCTGCATTAAGGAGGCAGTGATGCTTCTGAAACACAGCGCTGAGAAAGTCCTACCTTTACAACGTCCTCGTTTATGTGCTTCGGGTCTCTGTTCACCAGGTCGATCTCCTTGGTGTGCTGGTCCTTGATGATGATCCTCTCCTCCAGGTCGGTCTGCTCCTCGGCCATGGCTGCTCTGCTGCCAGCGTGGAGGGTCACAGAGGAGGGAATGGGGCTCTGCGGTAGGAGGACCAGGGCAGGACGTGGTGTGGAGGCACCCGCCCCCCTGCCCGCAGCAGCTGCCCCTGGCGCAGCTCCAGGCTAAAATTAATGTCCTGCCTCCCGAGGCCGCCCCAAGTGTCCCTTAAAGGGGCTTTGCTGGGGACAGCCCCTGCGCTGTCACCTCTGGGGGGTACCTGTATGGGTGGCACCCTCAGGGCAGGGTGGTGCGGGGGGGCACGCACCCCCAGCAGTGCGGGTGGGATTTGACCCTCGTGTGGGGAGGCAGCATGGGAGAAATGATGCCCAAACCGGGGCAAAAGTCCTCAAAAGCCTGAGAGAAATGGTTGTTTACAAGGGAAATCACTGTTTACTGATCTCTAAATGAAGAGCCTCAGGGGAGATGGGAATCACATCTATAAAGATCACCTAGGGAAGCCACACTGTCCTGCGACAGCCAGCAGGCTTTGGGGTCCCTGCGGAAGTCCAGAAGCAGCTCACGGTATCGGTTTGGATTCCTTCAGTTCCAGCTCTTTCATACAGAGAAACTTGAGGAATCCTACAAGACCAACTCAGAGGTCTACAACAGTCAAAGTATTTCCTCAACGGACACAGGGCACAGTGACATTTAGTGTATTAATGATGTTTTATTTAACTTGTGCTGTATTTTGATAGCGCTCATCAATCTCCTCAGTGCTCTCTTGGGTCTTGTCAAGTGAAGATTTGTTTAAAACAAACAGTCTTGTAGGAAAAGAACCAAACCAACCATCCCCAAACCAAAACAACCAACCACCATCAAACCACCCACCCAAAGCTCCTGGCAAATCAGTTGTTTATGGGCATTTTCATGTGAAGTAATGTTGGGATAACTGCCTTCTGTTCTTCCCTTGTGTGCCCCTTTGGTTATGGCTGCTTTGAACTCTCCCCATGCAGTGCTGGTGATGGTTGGTGACAACTCACTGTGCGGTAGGGGTGACACAGCAGGTGGTTGTGACTTACCCCTGGGTCAGCACCACACACTGCAGCATATGGGGGCAAAACCTCATTGGTGGGGACTGTATATGAACCTCCATTAATGTTGAGTGTTCAATTGATGCATGTGTCTGAGCTGTTCTTGAGCCTTATTTCTTTCCTGTTTCACATGTGAAATTGCAAAGATGTGTGTGGTACCTCCAGCTGGGACATGCTTTGGGGTTTGTGGTTGGGATGGAACATTGCCGCTGGCAAATGACACCAGCATCGCTTTGTGGGAGCAGAGCAGGAAGGAGCACCCAAAGAAGCCTTGCTGATGGCCCACAGGCAGACCCAGGTCTGGCTCATTTCCCCCCCTATCTCAGGTACCCCTACTTACAGCTCCTTGGAGATATGTGAAGCGGGGTCCAAATACCCTCAAGCTTCTGGAGCTTAATCCTTCAGTGCCAAGTTATCATGATAAGTTTAGGTTTGTTCTGGGCTGCACAGTCTGGTCTGGGAATGTTTACTTGGATGAGGAAACATTGCCTGGGTAGCTCTAACATCAAGAAACAGTATTTCTTTGTGGACCTGAGTGGAAAAACCCAGAAGGGTGCAGTGTCCTGCTTAAGTCTCTGCTAGTGAAGTGAAATTGGGAAACAAACCTAAGTCTGAAGTAGACCTTAATGTAAAACAACAAAACAAAAAACTCTGGGCACAAATTGAAGATCATTATTGGAACATGTAATTTCTAGAATGCCTTTTTAAAGAACTATTACAGCAGGAAGCAAACAGCTACCATGGAATCTGAATTGTCAGATAAAAGCCTTCATGTATTGCAAGTCATACACCTGTAAAGTGGTGAAAGGAGTGAAGACTTTGGGGCTTTGAGCAGTCTGGTCTAGTGGAAGGTATTACTGTCTGTGGCAGAGGGTTGGAACTGGATGAGCTTTAAAGGCCCTTCCAACCCAAACTATGCTGTGCTTCTGTGACTCAGGAGGAGGGATCAGTGCCCTGGAGATGTCTATACAACTGTTGAGCATGGAAGAGGCCACTTCAGAGCTAATGTGTTCAGCTGGCATGGCAGGGAAGTATTTTAACAGCAAAAGGCTGCCGCCTTCCAAAACCATCAGTGCTGACTTTATCAAACCTTTGTGGCTTGGTGCCTGGAGCTTTCAGTTTTGTTCCAGCCCTTTGAGCTGATATAACACAGTGCAAAAATGGGATCGTGTTCTTTCATTTGGCTGAGGTGTTGCGTGTCTCTTGGACATGTTCATTTTTCCTGAGAACTTGTGATGGTGGGAGCCTGGCTGAACACTACTGCGGGTTGAAGGCTGCCAGACTCCTCTAACTCCTGCTCGAGGTGGTTTTTCAGGAGTCAGGATGGTACCTCAGTCTGAAAACTGTTTTTCTTGGGATTTCTGCTCCAGTGGAAGGAGATGTGGTGATGCCTTGGTGTGTGACACATCCATGGCTAAAGCTGTGATGACTGCATCTTGTCCGAGACATCCCTGACTTCTCCTGTAGGGAGAGAAAGGGCAGAACTGGGGGTGGGAAAGTAACCATACAAACCCATGGGATACTGCAAAAGTAAAGGAGGCACCTACGGAGAAGGGATGAACTCTGTGAAGGTTTGAGCATGGAGGTGTGGGTTCAGATCTGGGCGGGCTGCTTCTGGAGGGGAGTGTCCGTCACTGACCCTGTCCTGGCTGTGCTTCTCCAGGAGAAAGGATGCTGGAAAACTCTTCAGCAGCACCAGTCCCCTGTCCCTGGGTCTCTCACTGGTGACTTGAGCCAAGGTGGCTCAGTTTGGTCCTGTTCCTTTGCCTTCCTGCTGGGTTAACAGCACAGCTGCAGTACTATGAGGCATCTGCAGGCAGTGAGCTGCTGCTGCTGGTGGTGGTAAAAAGTGCCAAGAGCTCGCTGGGTGTAAAAGTATCTGGAACTTGGTTCAACACAAGCTGCCTGTTGGTCTCTGCCCTTTGGTGGGGCTTTGAGACCCACTTTTGGTGACCCAGCCCTCTGCCCTTAGTGCCAGCACTGGCTCAGCAGCAGCAAGAGCCCAAACCCAGCATGGGCTGGTGTTGCAAGTAAAAACTCCATGCTCCAAAGCTTAAGTCCTGCTCTGTCACAGCTGAATTCCTCTCTGTCAGAGTTCTGTAGCACCACTGCTGCCATGGCTGAGCACTTCAAAATAGACCGTGCAGGATGGTTTTGCTAGGTAAGCTGGTTTCCCCTTACCCGGAGCTGAAGGCACATAACAGTACTGTGAGCGGAGGCGGTGTGCGTGAGTAACTGTGCTCTGATGGAAGAGCAGCACTCGCTTGGCTGGTGCCCAGCACCCAATTTAGGAGCCACAGCTGCTCCTGGCAGCGCTGTCCCCTGACAGACGGAGCAGCACTACACAAGGTATTTGTTCTGCTGCGTTTTCCTCCACCCATCCTGCTGGAAGGCTTTACACCAGGACAGGGGTTGCTGTCCCCATGGTCAGGGGGGGCTTAGCCAGCTGCCCTGAGCCCCAGGGGCTGTGGAGGGGATGGCAGCACAGTTGTGGGGTGCCACACACACTCTCCCCTGCTTTGCTGGGCCCTGCCCATCTCTGGTGTGGGATTTCTAACAGCGTGAGTCACTTGCTGTCTTTAGGCTTGGGCTGGTCCTTGCTGTCTGCACCCAGGCATGTGGCTTTGGTGTCCCAGGCGTGGGAGTAGGAGAATGTGGACCCACGTAGCGGTTAACGTGCAGTTAGCAAGAGTCAAGTAGCAAGGAGAGAGAGGAGGAATATTCTGTTGCACCACAGATGCTATAAATAAATGTATTTCCGAGTACTTTAAGACTGTGAATGGGACACAATATAAAAGCTGCTGGTGTGCAGAAGCTGCAGTGGGCTAACAGTAATATTAGTTTGTTAGTAACTGATAACAACCAGAAGTTTAATTGCTAAGTACAGGTGATAAAACAATAGCAATTTCAGCAATTATTAATGCTCCCCTGAGGATGGTTATAGATATGCATTGAAAGAATTTGCTGGCCGTGCCTTGTCCTGTGGAGACCTTTTCCCAACCTGGTGATGCAAGAGATGCCAATAGACATTAATTTCTTGGCAGTGCCCTTCTCTAGTACCAACTAGTGCAATAAATTAGTCTTGCCTTTCAGTATAAAGTCCAGCTTTCATACAGCAAATGCATTCCTCTTTCCAAATGAGGGGCTTCTCCTTGCAGAGGTTTTCATTCATCAGCCTGCCCAGGTGAGTCCTAAGCTCCAGTTGTTCCTTTCATCCTGTGAGCGCAGCTACCCTCAGCCAGCCCTTGTCCATCTGTCCAGCATTAAGCATGAAGGAAGGGGGTTTGGGAGCCCACAGACAGCTGGACAGATGGAGTGTTCCTGCATGCGTGGAGTACACCTGGGTGGTTTAAAACCCAGCTCCCTCCCTGGTGCAGGAATCTGGGGTGCTCATGACCAGCAGATGGTTCCTACCCTGTAAACACTGTGTTGCTGGTGGCTACTGCACTGAGAAGCCCTTTTTGTTCACTTTGCTGCCATCAGGCTTTCCTGCTCTAAGAGCAGCTCCTCTTAAAGCTTTGTGCTGCAGCACTGGCAGAGGAGGAGGTACAGCTCAGCATTGCTTAGGACATGTGGAAGACTCCACCGCTGCTGTTTAGCTTGGAATGTTTTTCCTACGCTCCAAGTCCTTGAAGGCTTTTTCTCTCCTAGGAAAATGGAAAGAGTTACAGGTGCTCGGAGCAGGATGCTGCTCCCTTGCCCACTCCTCTCGTATATCCCAGGTGTCTGTGGGCACATGCGGGAGTCCAAGCCCAGCTGCACTCAATATCTTTCATCTTGAGAACATTTGTTATAAAACCTCGTGACAAGTTTTCCTTTGCAGAAACCAACAGTTACCATTGTGTCCCTGAGCAGCCGCAGGTGTGATTTCAGGGGAGGTATTGCTTTTTGGTAAATAAATCATCAAAACCTGGACTGGCTGTGGGATTGAAGGATTGGTGCTCTGAACTTGGAAGCCTTCTAGGGGTCAGATAAATAACCTGCAGTTTGGTCCCAGCAAGTGAAATGTATTTCTCTTGAGCAGAGAAGAATAAAGCTGAAACAAAGCTTTTGGAAATCAAAGCTCCTA